CGCAAATTTTGAGGAATGTATTTGGAAAAGTATTTGAAGGAGACCAAATACATTTGGTTGTATTTGTATCTTGTACTTAAATGCTTTTTTGGAAATGTAATTAGATTTGTAATTAAATACATTTTTGACGAAGTATTTTGTATTTGTATTTCAATACATATTTGCATCTATTTTGCCCATCCCTGGATCAGTCTGACGTCATAATCCCCCATTCGCGCTCCAGATGACAGCGAAATGCATGGGCTTCGGAGCAAAGAAGAATAAAGACAGGCTTTTCATCACCACAAGTGAAAGCTAGGTGCTTGTTAGACCAATTAATCGCCTTCCTTTTACACCAGACCCCACCGTGGAGATGAAAAGCATGTCTTTATTCTCCTTCCCCTAGAGCCCACGCATTTCACTGTCATTTTAAGCATGAATGGGGGACTATAACGTCAATTTCGCTGTGTGTGCTGGCGCACACCGGCAGCTGCTGGCTCGTGGAAAGATTGTGCGCCACTTATTATGGGCGCTAAATTCCTTGGTCAGTATCCATTTAACCTGACTGATTTTCTTTTTTTTTCTTTTTTTTTTTCGGCGCTAGCTTTTCTCAAATCGACAAGAAAAATGGACATTTTCCGGAGTTTCCACGGCGCATGCGCAGCAGCAGCAGACGGGAGTCCACCAATTTTGGTGGCGCTTTGCGTCCGCCTCACGGCAGTCAGCAGCCATGGCAGCCATAGCAACCGCGGAAGGCCGGGAAGCGGTCGCACATTTCCAAGTCCTCTAAAATGCCCCAGCGCTGCTCCGCTGTCGGCTGCAGCAACGACAGCAAACCGAATCGAGGATTAAGTTTCTTCCGGTTTCCTTGTGCAAGTCTTCACCCGACGAAGCGCCAGTTCTGGATTCGGGAGATCCGACGAAACAACGCGGACGGCTCGCCGTGGCAGCCATCGGACTACTCCCGCGTTTGCGGCAACCACTTTGAGCAAGGTTCGTGCTTATTATTTCTTGCTTTCGTTAGTGTGCACCTCAAACGTACAGTGCGCCTCAAACTTTACGCCGCCACGGCATTTGCCGTTTCTGATAACTCACGGCATTTGCCGTTTCTGATAACTCCTGCAGCGGCCGACTGAACGATCTGAAGAATGTTTGGGTTCCCGATTTCTATCCCATCCTGAGAAGGCATCCCGAACGTTTTGGTGACAAATTTAACAGTAAGTAGCCGACACGAGCTCCATGTTTGGGAACCCAGTGGCGGCGTTAAGATTGAGGTGCACTGTACCTGATCCAATCTGATGCTTGTGTCTGTATACGCTGTTCAGTTGCTACCTCCACCAACAGGTAGGTGCTGGCTTGAGCATTTTTTTGCTTGCTTATGTGACGATTACGCGCTGGCGCGGAAACTGCTGGATTACTATTTTGCTGTCGCAGCTACGCTGTGCAGTTTGTGACTATGCGTATAGCCGAAGAGGAAAAGTTCGAGCAGCTGTTGCTTTGGTTCCCCCACCGCGTCTGCCGTACGTTTGTAGCTAAATAAAGTTGTGAAAGTTCTAAGTAAACAACTTTTTGTTTTGGGTATCTTATAACCCGCATGTTCTAAATTCAGAAACATAAGTGCGGCCGGCCTAGTGTTCCCCTTTCGTCACCAACAGGTTGACAGATCTAGTGATAACAAGGACCTTGTCATACAACACTTCGATTTTAAGCATTCATTAAATATTTTGTTGATTGTGTGGGTCTCATGCCAACTCAATAACGCTGCCATTTTTAGTTCCTGTGAACTGACCTTATGCTTTCGAGCTGCGGCTGTGTTTTGAAAGGCTTCACTGATTTCTTAATACGATATTGATCACTACTAGTTGCTTCATTGCCTGGCACCCATAGGCCCCTATTAAAATCTGCTCCCCAAGAAGCACTGCACATGCTCAGAGTGGTGTTTCATTCAGAGCTGAAATATGACGGGCAAAATAATATAATTTCAGGAGCTCCATCAAGGTGCAAAGACCACCCGGACTATGTCCTGTCAATCTTTGCTTACATGTCCAGCCTACAAAGAGACTCGGCTGCACGGATTGACAGGGCAAGGACGCGGCATGATAAGAAGATGGTCACAGCATCCGCCAAGAATGCCATAAAGCATCCAAGCAGTTATCCCCTCCAGGTAACATTGGTATTAATTCAATGCTATTTATTATCAATCTTCTAGGCTGCAAAAGCATAAAATGATATTGCTTGTTGTTGTTTGTTACTTTATCGACAGAATCTAAAGTGATTGAGTCAAAGACGAACTTCAAATATTGTTTATGGTTTGCGCGTCACTTACGACTTGACCTAGTATGGCTCCCTCTCCATTGACATGTGGTTACTTAGAAAGAGCTGAGCCAAAAACATTTTTTTATTTCTTGTTGGTATGCTTGATTAGATTCGAGTTGAGGAGTTGGCGAGAGGAATGTGTGAAATAATATATTCAGTGACTGTATTCTTTTCTGGTGCAGCAGTGGAACAACAGGAGACGGACACCATGGCTGAGGTTGTGGACAACTCGGAAGACCAGTGCATCCAGTCTACAGACACTGCAAATGACATGTGTGTGGCCGAGGACTGTGATGCTGCAACACCTTTGAGAGACATCCATCAGTGTCGTCTGTTGGAGGGCAGGATTGTGGAGTTGGAGCGGCAGCTTCAGGCAGAAAAGCTTAGGACACAAGCACAAAGCCAAATGATTATGAAGCTTGAGGAAAAGATGCCTGAAATTAAGGTCACTACGCTTTCCCTTGCTAACATCATGGGCACCGAAGACTTTTTGTTTTACACTGGGCTGCCAAACTATTTTGTGTTTAAGGGGAGACGCTGCCCAGAAAAAAAAACTTTCTGCAAAAAAAGTTGAGTGTGAAAAATGACATATTCACATCCACCAACATCTAGAGAGTATTCCCAAAAAGTTTAATTAATTTTCACTGTATAGTTAATTTTTTATAAATTATTTTCTGTCCACCAAAGCTATAGAAAAGGTAGGGTTTAGAGCACTTTGAACGCATTTTTCTCCGTTCCACTTTTTTGTATAAATTCCATTTTAGTCAATCTATCGTTTGATAATGGCAAAACAGGGAAAGCTCATTCTTCCCTTTTCCTGAGTGAAATTTAATAAGGAATGCGGCTATGGAACTTTTGTGTCATTTTACGGGTGTCTTTTGTAAAAAATGTTGACATTTTGTCGAAGGCACAGAAGACCAAAAAGTTGACCAATTTTGCAGAAGAGAAAATTTATAGAAATAAATTACTTTTCAGAAAAAACATTCCATAGCCGCACCCTCTAGGCATTCTGCTACATATCTAGCAAATAAAAACCTTGAATATCGCAATAGTTTTCTGGCGATAGATTAACTAAACAATGTAGGCGTGTTGCTGATAGAAGCTACTCTTATTTCCTTTTCATTTAACCGACAGAGCTGAAATTTTGTTACACACCCTCCAGCATGAGCACCAGCCTACCCTGTAAATTTCATTACGTTTAAGACAAGGGTTCAAAAGTTGACCCCCCTAGGGGGTGTGTCCCCTTAAGAACTTGTACGGCATGATTGTCACACGCAAACCTAAATTGTGTTCAGGCAATTATGTCAGGGTCCACACAGGTGAAGAGCAGCTGTTCACAGTTCTAGTAAGGCTCCGCACGGGAATGTCTCTGGAATGTCTCTGAAGAAAATATCCAGAAACTTTGGGATTTCAATGTCGACCTTCAGCAGGTTGTTTACGTCATGGATTGTTGTGCGGAGTCGTGAACTAAGTGCTCTCAACTGCTTTCCGAAGCTGGGTCTTGCACAACAAAGAATGCCAAGACACTTCGATGCATTTCCTGATACAAGGATGGTACTGGATGCAACCGAGATAAGGATTCAAACGCCATCCAGCCTTGGATGCACAGTGCCAAACCTTCTCACCGTATAAGCATGCAAACACAATGAAGTGCTTGGTTGGGGTAACACCGGACTGTTATATTTGTTACCTCTCGCCACTGTACGGCGGTGCCATGAGTGAGAGAGAAATTGTTCGGCAATGCGGCATCCTCAACCTGTTAGAACCAGGTGAGGCTGTTATGGTAGATAAAGGTTTTAAAATTGGTGACTTGCTTCCACATGGTATGAAGCTTCATATTCCACCATTCAGAGTGCCACACACACGTCAGATGCCAAAGTCGGAAGTCTACGAGACTCGTAACATTGCTGGCGCTAGAGTACATGTTGAAAGAGTGATTAGACGTATTAAGGAGTTTCACATTTTCAATCGTGCACTGCGTCTCACCATGATCGACTTGGCTGACGAGATTTTCATCACTTGTGCTTTATTGTGCAACTTCAGAGGGCCACTGATTACGGAGGAAGAAGAAAATGAACCATGTGCATGAGTGTGTAACTGGAGAATTGTATGCTAAGTTGTTTTCAGAAAAGAAGACTGAAAAAGAGACTTGAGAAAAAATACATACATGTGACTTGCATGAGTACAAGGGAACGGTTATATGCACCAGATATATTAGCATTCCTGATTTTCAAACATTTTCAGTGTAGCATGTTTCCCATTATTTCATCATACATAAATACAAGTACTGTTACTTTTGATAAGTACAAATGTGAAACAACCACTATTCGTCCTTTTCTGTTTGACAAACTCACTCGCTCTATCTAATTAACAGCGCTTTTTCAATTCGCATTTTTTTGTGTTGCCACTTTTTAACACATATTTCTTCCGCCAAATAGCATAAAAATGTTCGCTCAATGCAGGAAACTACCTTTTTGCAAAAAAATATATCCGATTCAGCACAGAAAATGACGCATCAGAGGTTTTGCACCGTACCCGACGGGTTTTTGAGCCATTTTGACGTTAGCGGCACCACGTTTCAACTCGCTAGAAAAACAAAATGCACGCGAATGTATGAGCTCTCATTTACACTTTTTGTTTCAGTGAAAGTACACTTTGCGACAGAATGCAAGAACGACTGTTTTTCATAGATACATGATAATAAACTACTTGACTCTTTCGAATGTGAGCTTCAATGGATTTTCATGCATGCGAGCGATATAAAATACTGCCACGTGCATCTCATGTGATACATGTCCAGGTTCAGTAGTGTGCAGCCTGCCAAGACGTCGAACTCGTTGAGTGATTCTTTCTGGGATCACCACACGCTCGTAGAAATAGAGTAGCCCTGAAAGAATGGTGCCGTCCCAGAAGGTGTTGTCAAAAGCTATCCGCTCAACACTGATAGAGTCGCACAGAAGTACATTGTTTGTCCAGATGACAAAGTCTGCCCAAGGAAGCCCAGTGACAGCCAGCTGTCCTTGCACTTGGTAATAGTAAGCACTGCCCCGCTTGAGCGTAACTTCACCTTCAACGATGTGGGCAAAGAACTTTTTGTCCAGGGCGGCACCCTTTGGTGTTTGACCCCTCTTACTGCAGGGACACTTCACCTCAAGCAAGCCAACTCCTTCGCCGTCGTAGACGATGCGATCGGGAGATGCCGCAATGAACGGATACCTTGGGTAAACGTGCAGGCCCGTCTCGTCAACATGCACCTCTTTATCATAGTAGGCCATAAGCTGCACATACTGGTGCACAGCGAGGGGCTTGTTCTCGATGCCATAGAGGCGTGGGTCACCTGGCTTCAGTCTGATGTTCTTAGGGTACATGACTTCCCGGACGAGGCTCTCTGGTTTTTTGCAGCGAACCATGCGCTTGAAGTTTGATGCTGTCAGTTGCCCCACGCGCTTTCTTTTTCATGTCGGATTTTTTCCTCGGCCAAATGTTGACTTCTGGATGGCGCTCACTTCACTGAGGCTCAGAGGTCGGACGGACTCCATTTATTTCCTGAAGTGCTCACGGCACTTCTCGAAATGCAGGTTCTCGTTGTCCAGGATGGGGCACAGGAAGCGGGGTGGTTCTGCCTGACCAACATACTTGCACCACAGGAGGCTAGGCTCCTTCCTTTTGATAGCGTCTACATAAACCTTGATAAACAAGGAAACGGAAGGACGCAGCCGCATGTGAGCCCCAGCGGGGGTGGAGGGAAGAGTCCACCCCTAAATGGCAGTCTACGCCCTGAAAGGTGTCCGTGACTTTCGGCGGCGTCTTTAGAAAGACCACCACGGTAGCCCGTCCATTTAGACTTACAGCGTTTGCAAACCCACCAATCGCTCTCCCAGTTTTTTTTTTTTTTTTTTGTTCTTTTTGCCCATTAGTGAATTGCTTTTCGGTTGTTAAAACATATATTCCAGTTAGACGATGATCTGTCCGAACTTAATCGCTCGCGTGCTGAAGACTTGGCCCCCCGGGTGATGAGGGTTCCAGCTTAAAGGAGCTGTGCAACGATTTTAACGTTGAAAGAATTGGCATTTTCTGCTTTTGATATTGTTCACTGTGTCACAAATGGCAGAAAACACACCTCCTTTCATCGAAATGTTGCGATTCCGCCGCGTAATGGCGAGGGAAAACTTGGAATATTTCCCGACCTGCAGCCACGAGCGGCGGCCATGGGAAACAAGCGGCGTGACGTCACTTGGGTCGTTGTAAGAAAGATAGCAAGTTGTGCGAATACCTGCTCGATAAAAGGTAACTTTTTTATAAATCTTGTCGTTCCAACATATATATAAATGCGTCAAAACCCTGGTATCATCGACAAAACTTTTATTATACGGCGTTTTAGTGGCGCCATCTATCCTAGGTTCACAAAACCGCGAACAGCCGCCAGAAGCCGGAGGGGGAGGGGGACAGCGCCGGACGGGCAAGGACGGGTGGTCACGCGGTCGCGAGCGGATGAGTTCTCGTTGCTCGCTGATGGCTCTAAAGAGAGAACTTTTCCGGAACTCCGCGCCTACTCTAGTGACGTCACTGTGCACGTGACCCGGAAGACGATGCACGAGTTGAGAGGCGGCAAAAACCTGGATCTTTTTTCATTTTTTTAAATAAAAACTAGGGTATCCAGGCAAAATCTGTTTTCTGTAGTTCACTGCAGAAGTGTCAGGCATCAACTTCCACAATTATTTAAGCAAAGCCCTGAAATTGTTGCGCAGCTCCTTTAAGCCTCGCTGACCTTTCTAGTTTTTTTTTTTTTTTTGCTGCGCAAGCCTTTTTGAAATTGACGTGAAAAATTAAACAAAAACATTTCTGGACATGACAAGCGGTTTGTCCTGTTGTATCCAAGCTGTCGGTTACGTTTTCATGAATGCGACCGTGGAGCATCGAATCAACAGGTGACCAGTCACACGCCCCCGATCCTCCTTTCCCTTCCTCTTCTACCCAATCATAGGCGGCAAATCTCGATTTGATTCGCTACGGCCGCATCATGTAAATTCAGCCAAGGGAAAAAAAGAAAAAAAAGGAAAAGAAGCTAAGACCAACGACGCTATTCGTCAGTCACTTACTGTTGTCTGCCTATAAGAAGCCGAGAACAGGGATATCCTGGTGTGCTATCCACTTCAAATGTATGTATCCCTTTGAAGTCCAGCGAAACTGAGTATACGCCCAGCTAGCTAAGATCTCCAATATCTGCAATCCTTGTACTTCATCGCAGCTGTGAACAAGGACAACACTGGTGAGTGGTTTCTTCTGCGCATCTTCGATAAGGCTGTTAGATAATTTGCGTTCACTCGTAGAGTATGAAAAGTTCGATCTCATGTGTAATTTATTTTGAAACAAACTGCACGGAAAACAACTAAATTAACATGACCCAGTCTTGCTTGCACTTACACTGTAAGAAATGCCTGTGTGTGTACTTACTTGCAAAACACTCAAAGAGCCAATCTCTGCGATCTACGAAATCAACTCAGCGAATGATGAGGTGGAACATCTCTTTAAAGCTCAAAAGGAAGTCTGCGCTGTGGCATTACACAATGAAAGCATAACGCTTTGCATTGCGTAATGCCACAGCACAGACTTCATTTTGAGGTCTAAACGGATGTTCCGCCTCATCATTGCTGAGCTGATTTCGTAGTTCGCAGAGATTGGCTATTCGAGTGTTTTGGGGGTAACTAGACGCTCAGGCATTTTTTAGAGTGATAGTGATATTGAGCAGCGTTCAATACATTTTCTTACTTAGAAGATTTAAAATGTTTGCCGAGACGACCATATACCTTATGCGTTTTAGTGGAGTCAATCTTCTCCAATGGTGGGCCCTTAAAACACGGGGTAGAGCCTGTATGCTAGAGCAATGCTGAAACACCCGGTATAAGCGCGTAGCTCTCAAGTTTTGAGCAGCGCTCCAGGCGGGAAAAATAGAATATTTGGCTCGCATTTCGAACATGCGTCAATATGTTTCCCCGTTAGAGTTTTTTACACTCCATTCCATTCTAAGTGCCAGCGTACCAGAGGCTACAAGAGCGAGCTGCAAGCTTTTAGCATCCCTGCCAAGCACGCGCGCTCGTGCAGTGTGAGCATCGTTCAGGAGGACGTGCCTTTGCGAATAGCTTCGGCTTCGCTATCACGTAAAGTGAAGCATGCGTGCTCGCGGAAGCTATGAAAGAAAGTAAAGATGAAAGGCATGTTTAATGGGATGCTGCGGCCGCGAGCTGCATAATTCTTTTTTTTTAGACGTTTTGTTACCGCGCATCATACAGATGCTTGTACTCGAACGTGGCACGTGCAAAATCGAACGTTACATCGCCACACGGATGGTGCAGCCAGCATAACATGGTCGCGTCTTGCGTAAGTCTTCCGGACGCGCTCGCGCCCCCTGCCCGACAGGGGGCGCGAGCGCATCCGGAAGGCTTACGCGAGACGCGACCATGTTATGCTGGCTGCACCATCCGTGTGGCGCTCCAACGTTGGAATACAAGCATCTGTCAGCATTTGTAGATGCGCGGTAACAAAACGTTTAAAAAAATGAATTATGGCGCTCGCGGCCGCAGTATCCTATTAAACATTCCTTTCATCTTTGCTTTCTTTTATCTTCCGCGAGCATGTGTGTTTCAATTTACGTTGAATGCGAAGCTGAAGCTACTCGCAGAAGCACGTCTTCCTGAACGATGCCTGCACTGCACGAGCGCGCGTGCTTGGCAGGGATGCAAGAAGCGCGCAACTCGCTCTTGTATTCTCTGGTACGCTGGCACTTAGAACGAAAAAAAGTATAAAAAAAACTGTAGTGGGGAAGCATCTTGAGGGATGCTCAAAACGCAAGCCAAATATTCTATTTTGCTCGCCTGGAGCGCTGCTCAAAATTTCAGAGCTACGGGCCTATAAAGCATAAGGGTTTTTGCTTACGAAAGAAATAAAGCGTGGTAGATGCGTCTTGAGTGCTCCTTTTTTCGGCCTACAAAGAAATTCGGTGAAAACTGAATTGAGTTCATGAAGGGGGGCAGGTAATATCAGGGTATTTTCTCATGTTTCATGGGTCTTTTTACTGGTCAGAAAAAAATGCACGGGAACCGTATCACGTTGCGAATAAGTAATTCGGGTGTTTTTCAAGGAGCTCTAAACTTTCCCATGGACATTTCGGCTCTTAATACAACATTTAAACTGTATAGACTTTTGAGAAGCATCCACAATAAATGCGAGATGCTGATAAACTGTCCGCAGGAACGTTGGTTTTACATGTTGTTAGTTTTGTTTCAAACCTTTAAATAGCTTATACTCAAAGTCTGTTAGAACCAAGCTTGGCAACAAACGTTAAGATGTGTTTTATGCCTCGATTTATATTACAAAACATGCGACGCATGACGCATGGGAAGACCTTTAATTCCTCCTGTCAGGTGTGCTAAACAATCAATGCTATAGGATGTCACGGTGGACACATAGTTGAAGATATTCCAAATTGTTCTGAGTTATGGTACACAACCAACTTCTCAAGCTTAACAAAAACAGAACAAAATAAAAACGGCAAGTTTGCAGGCGAACTGGTGGATGTTGATCACGTCGAAAATTACCCGAGACTGTGGTAAAAGATGAGAAACGTCGTGGAAGAAAAAGGACACACAAGAAGAAGGACGTCTCAAACTTTCACGAAGTTTCTAATCTTTTACTCGGGTAATTTTCAACATTTTCAAGCTTATTGCTATTGGGGCCTTTCGTGCACAGATGATTAATAATAAAGCCCACACCTTTACAGAAGACGCCGAAAACGCCTGTATCGAACCAACGCAAAAACATAATGTGGCGCGTCTAGTACGTATACGTTGGAAAAGAGAAAATGAAACATAACGTCCAACGTCTGCAGTCCACCCGCAGGATGGTGCTGTGCCTAATATATAAAGTCACTTAGCTACTTAGGTTTTACATCAGTAAGTGACCGTAAAGGCATGACCAAGTCTACAAATTTATAAAGAGCGAAAAAAATTATTTCGAGCTAAAATAATGCGTACTACTTTTAGACAAAAAAAAATGTGATTTTGATCGAACATGCACCGAAAAGTCCGCGCACCGAAATGTATGCGCACCGAAATATACGCGCACCGAAATGTACGCGCACCGAAATGTCCGTGCACCGAAATGTCCGTGCACCGAAAAGTCCTAGCACCGAAAGGTCCGTGCACCATGTCTCCCTGCACCAGCACCGAAATGCAATGCAATTGAGTGCCAGTTTCCGCGGCATTGGTTAGTGAAAGCGTTGTCATTTTGTGACACCGTTTTAGGAACATCGTTACTTCTTGTTTGCTTTTTAAGTATGTGCATAAGCGACGACAATGAAAGTTTAGCAATAGCCAACTGATGTAGCGGGCTCCTTGTCTTATTTAATTGTGTG